AATTTTAATCCTTAATAAACCTGAAGAGAATCAGCAAATATGTATTGATCAGTTTATCATCTACTATTATGCAGAAACTATGTGAGGGACTATGGGTCCCAGAGAGCAGAAATCCATGGTTTCTACATTTGATTTGATCTGGAGTTAAATAAGGAGTTATATAGTCTACAATAGCACAAATACCATGAGAAATAGTGCTGTAAACAGGCCACTGCCATCCAGAGGAAGTACAGAAGAACAAATGCCCCAGTTGAAAAAAATGTGAAAATGGTGTGTTCTGCAAACTAAGAGCTAGATATCAATGCTGAGGTGGATCCTTTTAAATTATTTACTTTAATAGTCAATGGGTACTCAAAGATAGACGTCAACAAGACATTGTGAAGAATAGGTCCAATCTAATGAAAAATTATTTCCTTTTGTTTAAAAAAGAAGAATATGAAAATGCCTGGATTTCAACAAGTTTCTAGTCTTCCATGGTTTCAATGCAAGATAGAGAAATATGAGCCAAATGGTAGAGTTGATAGATTGATAAATGGCTCAACAACTTTACCCAAAGAGTCAGGATGAACATGGGAAGTGGGAATTCTAACCCTGACTCCAAGTGGCTGGATAAGACTGAGCTTTGGAAACAGAAAGAGTTGAGTCTCAATTCCAGCTTCATCATTTACCACTTTAATGGCTTTGGGCAAGTTACTCACCGCCCCCCTCACCTTCAGTTTTATCACCTTTAAAATGACAATAATAATTCCCACCTGTTTGTGTTGTATAAAAATTAAATGCAATGATGCATTCAAAGTTATTAAATACAATAACTGGAACACTCTTTTCTGGAATAATTTTAGGTCTCATAATAATCATAATTTTTAATAAGATGGAAACAGTTGTCTAGTGACCTGTCTAGTACTTTTTAAATGGATGCTTTGAGAAAAATGGGGGCACACCTATCAAATTCCAAATTTTACACATGTGGCTATAAATTTGTTCAGGCATCATTCTTTTGTGATTTATGTTTTGTCCCTGTGGTTAGATTTTACACTGATTTTGATTTAACTCGATCTTTTCAATACCAGCTGATTGTTTTTTCTTTTTTAATCTTTAAGTTTGCCCTCTAATCTGTTAGTTTTCCCTTAAAGCCACAGAAAAGTGCCTGGATTTAGTAACATAGTAGAGGATAATTCCCTTGCTGGAGATAGGGAAGACTCAGGAAATTTGTGGTTGTGGGGTAAGGAGTATAGAACTTAGAATTCTGTTTTTGGTTGCATTACATTTGAGATTTCTAAGAGACACCTAGATGAGGTTGTCAAGGAAGCAAATTGGTTCTTTCTTCAAGAGCTCAGAGGAGAGCCATGGCCTGGAGATATTGACCAAAGACAGAGATGACAGCATGAAGATGGTATTTAAAGTTATGAATGTTGAAATCACACAAAGTGAGAGTAGTTTGGGAAGAGTATCATGAACTCCAACAGAGGCCAGTGACAAATAGAAGAGCCCATAAGAAAAACTGATAAAAAGTTGCTGGTGAGTTAGGAAAAAAAACCATGTGGGAAATATTTCAAGAAGGAAGCCAGGCCAACTATAGGAGGTCAACTAAGAATACTCTTTCAAAATTGGAAACTTCTATATGACATAAGTTAACCAAAGTTAAAAAGAAAGCAGAAGATGTATTTGCAAATTACATAACAAAGAGATTAATATCCAGAATACAATAAAGAACACCCAGAAATGAAGAAGAAAACTACAATGAAGTTGTCACAGAAAGTGCCAAACACATAAAGATGGAGTTCATATAAGGATAAATATAAATAGTCAACAACTAATTTGAAAGAGATCTAATCTGACATATCATCTGGGAAATGCAAATTAAATGAGATTTTTTAATTAACAAAATAATAAAAGGTTGATACTATGCAGAGTTGGTGAGGGGAAGGAGTAATGGATACTCTCACATTCAACTGCTGAGAGTTCAGATTGTTATAGATAGTGTTCTAGGAGGTCAATTTTAAGTTTACCACAAAAATTTCCAGTGGGCATATATGCCGATAGAACAATTTTACTTTACTAGTGCATGCACAAAGAAATGTGTTCAAGGGCATTAACACCAGTGCAGTTTGTAATAGCAGAAAATTGGAAACACCTACATGCCCACTAATGGGAAATAGTTAAATAAAATTTTCAATGTATATTTTTAGTACAGAAGATTATGGAACAGTTAAAAAGAATGAGTTAGACCTGTATGTTCTGCACAGAAATGATGTTCAAACTGTATTATTAAAGGATAAAAAGCAAGATGCAGAAAAATACATATAGAATCATCCCATCTATATAAAATAAAGCAAGAAAAGGCTATAATTTTGAATCTTTTATGACTGCTTATAAATACATTGAAAAGATAACCAGATTAAGGTTAATCGTTGTCTCTGGGGATAGGGGAAGGATTAGCAGGATAAAAGCCGATACTACTTTTCATTGTTTTGGTTTTATATTTCTTGAATTCATATGAATTTGCTGATGTTCTACTTGTGGGATTTTTAAGAAAAATGCAAGATTTTCTTAAATTGTATCAAAACAATTGATCTGGAGAATTAATTTTATGATTTGTTAATTTATTCATCAAGAGTTTAAGTTCCTACTATATATTAGGCAACATGTTGGATATTTGGTATATAGCAGTGGATAAAATAGGCAGAATTCTTATCCTTGTATGACTTACCCTCTAGTGGATTCAGGTTTCAAATAGTCTTCTTTTCTCTATACAGGCTACCCTTAGTCTTATAAGATTCTCCAACCTCCACAGAAAAACACCACAGATCAACTTCTTGCACTTTTCATGACTTCATAAAAAAAAGTAAGGAATAAAATATGGAGTTTGCATCCATATACCAACCTTTTTTATTTGTTTTTTGAAATAGAGTCTCACTCTGTCACTCAGTCTAGAGTGCAGTGGCATCATCATAACTCACTTCAACCTCCAACTCCTGGACTCAAGCAATCCTCCTGCTTCAGCCTCCCAAGTAGCTGGGACTATGGGCATATGCCACCACATCTGGTTAATTTTTCTATTTTTTTGTATACATGGGATCTTGCTATGTTGTTCAGGCTGTTCTTGAACTCCTGGCCTCAAGCAATCCTCCTGCCTTGGCCTCCCAGAATGCTAGGATTATAGTGGTGAGCCACCGTGCCCAGCCCATATGCCGTCTTTGAATTGCTATCTCTTTGCTTTATAAGCATACTGCAGATTACCAAATTCAGCAGATACTAAATAGTAAAGCATTTGGTTAAACAGGCTTTCTTGGGCTGCCCTAGAAACTCACAAACTCTTTCTATGGCAGTTTCTACGGGAAAATGACATCAACTTCTAAACAACTGACTTAGCAAATGTACTGCTGGAGCATACGCTGTGTGTAAGTTGTTGACAGCCTGTACTTAGGCAACTGCTAGCTTAAATAGCTAAAAACTATCTGGCACCCACACAGAAGTTCCTGCACACATACTTTATGGTTGACTTCTTTCTATGACACTCACTAAGGCATAATAATTAAGAGAGAATGTCAGCCTCGAGAAGTGTCCTTTGGGGCCCTTCCACCAGCTGGAACCTCCACGCTATGCTAGATTTTAGCTACAAGTTTGCCTACACCGGCAGCAGAAAATTTAATTCATGCTTCTGAGCAGACTCTGAGGCATTGCATTTATATTTTATAGCAATTCTTACTTTTCTTATGCAGGCAAATGAAAATTCCCCAATTTCAACCTGCCAGAACAGCTGAATACTGTCATCATCAGATAAATTAAATGCTTGTATCAAGGAGAAACTACTCTTTAGAAATTCCTGTGCATCTCAGAGCAAAAGAAAAAAAAAATATCATTGACGATTCATCTTTGCTACAGGATGAATGTGCTTATCACACATGGCTTTTTGCAGCCGAGAGCAATCCCAAACCAGGGTGGCCAGAAAATTCTCAAGATTTGGAAAGAGGCATCTTGACTAGACACTGAACATTCAACTCCAAAGTCACTCTCACCCCCATCCACCTATGTGACTTTGGGTAAGTCACCAGAGCTTTCCATGTTCCAGTTTTCATATTCCAGTTCTTTTCTCACACTGCTCTATTTGCCTGGAAGGCTTCCCTAATAGCTTCTCCTTGTCTCAACTTCACATAAAAGACTTCCCTGAGTTTCCTGAGCCAAATCAGCTCCTTTCATGCTCATACTCCCATTCTAGATTGCCCATACCTCCATCAGATCATATATTACATGGTATTACTGCTGCATAATTATAATTCTATTTATTTTAGTTTATCATGTTATTTATGGCCATGTGAGGTTATCAGGCAATATGCTATTAGTACTGCTCCTACTAATATTAATAAAATTATTAGTACTATTATGAGTGCCTACTATTTGTTAGGACTTATATGAATATATTATCTCAATTTTCACAAAAACACTATGGAATGAGAATTACCATTATTTAAAGTTGAAGAAAGTAAAACCAGGAGAGATTATACAGATGGCTAGTAGGCACGCTGAGAGTCAAAGTTGAGTCTACCTTACTCTAAAGCCCATGCTTTTAACTACTACTCTAAAATATAACCTTTAAATAATAATAAATAACATTTACTAAATGCTTACTAGGTATCAGGCTCTGTCTATGTGCCCTACATGCATTAGCTAATTTGATCCTCACAAAATCTCTGTGATACGGATTCAGTGATTATGTTCTTAAGTTTTTTAAAAATGAAATTAAGGTTAAGAATAGTTAAATGACCGTCCCAAGGTCACAAAACTATGGAGACTAGATTTGAATGCAGGTCAGTCTCCCTCCAGAGCCTGAGCCCTTACCCAACACTCTATTCCATGATCAGATGGTAGAATCTTCTGTAGTCTTTGCAAATTGTACACAGGCTTTCAAGTATAACCCCTCTGGAAATGGAAAACTGGAGTGTTACCCCTTCCGGGTAATGCAAATCAACCAAATGGGTCAACTCCCTTAGTATACTCACCTTAGTACATGTGTGGATCCGTTAATGGTTGTGGTTGAACAGGGGACAGTCTGGCCCAGAATGGAAGGTCTTCGATAGCGCTCATCATCACAGCAGAGGATGATGAGGAAGGCACGTCTAAAAGACTTATTCAAGAAGGCGTAGAGAAAGGGGTTCAACCCGGAATTGATATAGCCAAGCCAGAGGAAAGCGGTCCACACCTGCCCAGGGACAGTGTAGTCTATGAAAGGATCCACAATGTTGGTGACAAAGAATGGAGCCCAGCAGAGGCAGAAGCAACCCATGATGATGCACAGGGTCTTGGCCGCTTTGGTCTCTGTCCTCATGCGATGAGTGCTGTGCTGGTCTGCCGGCTGGGGCCTGCCCTCTGAGTGGGCTCCTGCCCGTTGTAACATCTGGATTTGACGGGCGTGTTCCTTAGCTGTGACATAGATGCGGTAATAGGCCAGCACCATGAGGAGGAACGGGATGTAGAAGGCCACCACAGAGCAAGTGATGGCGTAGGGCTTGTTGACCATGAAGATACAGTACGTAGAATTAGAGTTGTGGTTGAACTTCCTTTTTTCTATCTGAGAGTTGGCGAGAGGGAGGGATGGAGAGAGGGAGAAAGGGAAGGCAAAAGTGAAAAAGAAGTGGGAGAAAAATGAAAAAGAAAAGAAAAAGTTAAAAAGAAGAAGCAAAAAGGGTAGGGTGGATGATAGAAGGAAAGGGAGGGGAACAGGGAAAGATAGGAAAGGAAGGATGAAAGAAAAGAGTAAAGGGGAAAGGAAAGAAAGAAGAAGGTTTATCAGCAAAGCTTCGGTTTTCTTATAAGTCTATAGCACACAGAACCTTGATGGCAGAAAAGGAACATGATCATATCCCAGGGCTCAGAGAGCTTGTCTATACAAGAGGAGCTGAAAGTTCCAGGAAAGGAAAGAAATAAAATGGGGATAGAATCATTTTTCATTCCATCTACCCAACCAATAGTGGAGTCTTGCCTCTATTCTCCCTTTCTTGTCTGCTTGTACATAACATACCAGTGTCTCAGAATAAGATACCTGCAGATCAGTAACATCAGACTCACCTGTGGTGCATATTGTAAGTGCAGATTTCTGCCTTCCCCCTCACCTCTACCACGCCAAGCTAGTGAATCTAAATCTCTGGGCAGTGACGCCCAGATATCTGCATTTTTAGTAAGGTATTTATGAATAATTCTAAAACTCATTAATATTTGAGAACCATTGTTTTGCACCATTCTAAACCTAGCTCTTTGAGGGATGCCATGGGGCACTTTACTAAACTCATTTGTCTGCTTACTGAGTGCCTCGATGGAGGTTTTTGTCATTTAGATGCTATAGTATTCAAAGTATTGATGTAGAGTAACAGCCAAGATGGGCCTTAGGACTTGGGAGATATTTTCTCCCATGATATTTTAGAATCATGGGAGAAAAGGGTATGTAGATTGTGTAGGGCAAGATCATGATGGACCTTGGAACCCAACCAGAATCAGAACCTATGCCAGTCAATACTCACTGTCTCAACTTACTCTCTTCTCACTCTCTCCTGAACCCACTCCATCAGGTGTTCCTCTTAATCACTCCATTGAAACCACTCTGGTCAAGGTTGCCAATGACCTCCATGTTGCCATGTCCAGTACTCATTTAAAATAATCCATCTACACCTTCCACACATCTGAACCCACCCTCCTTCTCCTTTTTTGGATACTTTGTTGAACTAAAATACATAAAAAGTTCATAAATATTAAATGTATATGCAGATGGACAAATTATTAAAAAGTAAATATACCTGTGTAATCATTATTCAAATCATACTGTAGAATATTTCCAGCAACCAGGCAGCCTCTCAAAGGCCTTCTGCCAGTCATGACTATGCCCAAGGGTAGCCACTAATCTTTATCACCATGCATTAATTTTTTTTGTTTTCTAAGTGGGTTGTGTTGACTTCTCTCTAGGCAGGTTCATTGTGCAAAGGAGTGGGCAGATATGGATATTAGGCATGTTTGTAGTAAGCAGGTGTCCCATTCCCCAGTCAGGTAAAGTAAATAGGAGACGTTTCTATCTCACTCTAAGGGAACAAAAACTTTCTGGGTTATTTCCCTTGGAAATTCTACATCCAGAAGGTAAAACTGCTGAGCTCTCATTAGAATTTCCCAATTCACAAAAACCATATGATTCCAAAGATCTTATGTTAGGGAGTAAGTTTAGCATAAAAATTAAGAGGATAGATTCTAGATTCCAGTAAGCCTCTGCTCAGATATGGCCACCACCACTTCCTACAAATGACTTTAGCTACGAACTTAACCTCTCTGATCCTCACTTTCCTACTTCCCAGTGTTGGTGTGAGGGCTGAGCAAGGTTCACAGAAACAATGATTAACACATGGCTTGAGGCATCATCAGTGTTCAACATTTGTTGGCTATTATTGATACTATTCCTGGACTAATACTTGTTGGAAACTTGGATTTCATGTCCCCCCAAGAACGATAGAAATGACAGTTCAAAAGAAGTGGGATAGGATTCAAGAAAATATCTACACAGTGTTCCTTCTGCTGCTTTATTCTACCACCTCCAGCATTTCTTTCAGAAGCCCAAGGAACTTCTTGTTCTGACATGCCACATGCAAATCCTGGCCCAGCTGTGGTTTGGACAGCCTCTCCTTGACAAAAAATGAGGCAGGACTAAGAGCTAGGAAAGGGGTGGAGAGGAAAAGGGGATGCTCCTTCTCCTGTGAGTACTGTTGGGCCACAGCACAATCCAAATCTCTCCCCTCCATTCCCCTTCCTACATGTAGGGGGAGCCCGGGACCGATTACAACGTGACTGCCTCACAACTTCCTTAGAGAATACGTATCTCTGCTAATGAATCCAGACCCTAGACTTTGATTTTCATTGCAATTTTAGTTTGTCCAAGCTGGAGGCCCCTTGCGGATTATCTACACAGGTAAAATGGTTAATTTTATGTGTCAACTTGACTGGGCCACAGGGTTCCCAGATATTCTGTCAAATACAATTATGAGTGTGTGTCTGTGTATCTGTGAGGATGTTTTAGGATGAGATTAACATTTGGATTGGTAGACTGAGTAAAGCACATTGTCCTCCATGAGGTGGGTGGGCCAATCTAATTTGTCGAAGTCCTGAATGGAACAAAAAGGCTGAATAAGAGGAAACTCTTGCCACCTCATTGCCTTCAAGCTGGGATATCGGTTTTTTCCTGCACTGGGACTCGAACTAAACCATTGGCTCTTCCTGGGGCTCTGGCTTGCCTGCATTTAGACTGGAACTACACTGTTGGCTCCTTTGGGGCTCCAGCTTGCTGACTGAAGATTTTGGGCATGGTCAACCTCTATAAACATGTGTGCCAATTCCTTAAAATTATCTCACTTTCTTTGTCTCTCTCTCTCTGATACGGATCAATAGATACACACACACACACACACACACACACCTTCTATTTTTTCTGCTTCTCAGGAGGACCAACATTTGGGGGTTGGCCAATGCCTGGCATATGTGCCACCTGCCCTCCTACACCCCAGCAGTCACTCTTCTCCACTGAGGACTGATGGATCTTCTCGTCACAGCCCCTCAGGAAGTGATACAGTGACAGCACTGGGCTCAGGGCTTAGTCCTTTCGACGTCTGCCAAGGCTCTCTTCACTCCCCAGCAGCCTCCGCCCACGTGCTATGTTTTCCCTGGGCTAATGCAGGCCTTATAGACCCTCAGGGTGAAATGGCGGATGGCCTCTTGGGATGCATGATATACCTCAGGCCCTGGAATTTAGGCTCTGAATACCTGTTCTGTTATTTACAAGCCATGTGACATGGGGCATGTTACTTAACCTTGTGAGCCTGGGCTTTGTCATGTGAGAAATAGGGAAATAATTATACTCCTCCTAAAAGGATGTTGTCAGAATTATATGTAAAGTATTTAGCATACTGTCTGGCAAACATTAGAGAAAAGATTATTTATGACACTTGTTAAAGAACAAGGCAGACTTTATTCAGGACTATGGCGATACATTGCAGGGACTGCAATGGGGTTTTGCAGAAAGGGAGAGAGATTGGGCTCAACTCTGAATATGACAAGGAAAAGTGGAAATTTATAGCCAAACAGCATGGTGGGTAGGGGTCAGTGGATGGAAAATTACTAAGAGGAAACATCAGGGATCAGGGGGATTCTGGCTAAAACAACCTGGCACGATTCTTGCTGAAGACTAGCCCAGGTCATCAGACATCACCTTGGGGATGGTAGCAGCTGAGGAGCCTTGTCAGATATCGAGGGTAGGGGATTTGGGCTAACCCAGCTTAGCAAGATTCTTGCAAAACTGGGGGATGCCAAGATATACACTGAATTCTAAAAGTCAAGTCCTCGTTGAGAAGAGGATTGAGAAGAACCTGACTACAACTTGGTCCAAGAGACACTCATTGTGAGTTAAACCATCAAAGATGTTAGCCTTTGAAAAAACGGTCACTCAGAACACTACCAGAGCCTTTCTTTGAATATCCACCCAATCTAATAGTATTTGTTTCTTTAGAATCCCAAGCCAAGTTTTCCAGAAAGTAAGCCAGTAGGGCCTGTGTGGATACTCACCAGATCAATTATGCCAATGTTATTCCAGCCTTGCATTATGGGGAGGAAGGAAATAAACGTGGGGATGATCCAGCAGCCTCCCAGCATTAATGCGATGCGCAGAGGGGTCATCTTGTTCCTATAGACCAAAGGCTGGCAGCAGATGGCATAATACCTGGAGAGAAAGTAGAGGGCATGGGCCAGGGCAAGGAGGGAGGAGAGGGAGGTTGAGGAAAACAATGGATGAGAGAGAAGAGGAGGAAAGAAGGAATGAAGTAGGGGACAGAGAAGAGGAAATAGTGAGGAGAGGAGAAGAATTGAAGTGGGGAGAAGAGGACAGAAATGAGGAAGAGAGAATGAATAGGAAAAAGGGAAGAGCAGGCAGTAGAAGGGAAAGAGAAGGAAGAGAGCAGGGAGGAAAGAAGAGAGGAAAGAAAAAAGCGATTATGCAATAACATATGTTATATTTACCTATGAGATTATGATAATATAAATCTACACTTTACATCATATCTGAAAATCATTGCCTGGAGTTGGTCCCACAGCCCTCTCCATAACCCTGTGCCTGCAAGAGTTCCACACACTGCAAACAGTCTTCCTGTCCCAGCCATGGTTCCAACAAGCATGGTTCCCTGCTGCCTGGGCATTCGGGAGCTCCTATCCAACCCTCTGGGCCTCAGTGTGCAGGCGCCTGTAGCCTGATTACAACTTAAGGTGAGTTAGGCATGGCCCTACATCTGGGCTCTAGTCACTGTATCTCAGATATATCCCCTTCCCTTTGATCACCGGCCTTTGCTGAAGGGGGGCTCTAGGTCCGTGTTTTTTAATTTGAGGTTCAGGGTTTCCCCTCTTTCTCCCCTGCCCCAGTCTCCTGCATCAGACTCGCCTGAGGAAGAGCTTTGAAAATGCAGACCCCAAGGATCTCCTGAATCAGAACCTACTGGGGAGCAACCTGGAACCTGCATTTTGATAAGTGGGAGTCCTTGTTGCTGCTTGCTAAGCATGCTCTGTTTCCCTCTTCCTGGCATGTGCACTTCCTGGCCTCTTTATGGTTGGGCAGGATCAAATAACTGGTCCTGGCCAATAAGTCATGAACAGAATTGACACACATCACTTCTGAGACAGACCATTTGACTATTTCTATGATGCCAAAAATGTAACATTTCCAATATTTCCTGTTCCATCATTTCCTATCTACTGTTTCAGACTCTCCATCCCCATTTATCAGGGTCTGACCTCCCTCATGGGATTCACTGCTCACCCTCTTTGAGTCCACGTTCTGCCTGTGGTTCTAGCTTTCTTCCCACCTCCAGATAGGGGTGCAATCTGCCCCACTCCATGGTCTAGCCTCTAACGCCTTGGCATGGCATGGAATTTACAATATGCAAAACACTACAATAGGTCTATCAGCTGTTGCTCTCTGAAAAAGTAAAAAATAAAAAAGTGCAAAAAGAACCTGGAGGCTCAGTCTATTCTTTAAGATTTTATACCATTTAGCGATGAGCCACCCCCTTACACCCTTTATTTAATGCAGTTCACTTTGTTAATTTTTCCCACCTCTTCTTTTCTTTTCTTAATTCAAAGCATAACTAATATAACAATGGCTATATTCTCTGAAGAGGTGGTGGTAGGATGGGTTGAGAGAGAGGGTGGAACGAGAAGGAGAGCCCAGTGTTGGAGCATGAGAAGTGGGTGCCTCAGGAGCTGGGAGGGGAGAATTATCCCCTTTCCTCCGAGGAATTGGGGAACAGCTGGCCACACTGTGCCAGGAAGCTCCCTCCGGCTGGCAGGCTTAGTGGGGCATTCTGAGTGGGACCAGAGTGCAAGGGACAAAGGACCAAAGAACGGGAGAGGGGCTTGTGCAGGAACCCATTGTCTCCACCATAAAACTGACATGGCTGCGAACCCTGACGGAAGATAACTCAGTAATGGAAACCATCATGACTAGCTGGATTCCCTCCCATACTCTTGACTTATAAGAAAGGCAAATTATAACTGAGTGGCACATTATTCTGAATGGTGATAATAATCATCAGAGGTTTATTATCCACACAGAGTGAAAGATAAATTTCATTGGATAAAGTGTCATTTCTCCCCCCTACCCCCCACATTTTGTTCCCTTTCTTATTTCTGGCTAAGGGGCAAGTTTTTCCCATTTCACATCCTTCCTCCTTTCTCTCGGTAATAGCATCTCAAATCCTTTGGGAATTAGGTCTTTGCTATTGCTGTAGTGTTGTTGGGAAAACAAATGATGGGGCTTTGAGTTTTCTATTCGAGGAGTGACCCAATCAGACTTTTTTCTTAGGACTCAACATACAGAGTGATGCAAAGATGAGAAGGTCGGCAGAGGACCCTTTATTCTGGCAGAAGCCTCCAGGCAGGGCTGGGTTTTAGCTCCTACCTCTTGGATATTCAATCAATCATGCTCTTGCCCCTCAAGCCTTCATTCTTTAGCTCTGCCTTCAATTAAACAATGCTCCTCATGTCTTTTCAGTACATTTTCTGTCTGCTTACACTGGTACTACGGGTTAAATTGTGTCCTCCCTCCCCTAAAAGGGTAAGTTGAAGTCCTAACCCTCAGTACCTTGGAATATGAACTTATTTAGAAATAGGGTTTTTTACAGAAGTAACCAAATTAAAATGAGGTCGTTAGTGTGAGTCCTAATTTAATTTGACTGATGTCCTCCTAAAAAGGAAACTCGGGACACAGAAACTGTTATCAAAGGAAGGAAGATGGCCATGTGAGTACAGAGAATTGTAGTGATGCATCTACAAGCTAAGAAACACCTAAGATTGCCAGCAACCACAAGAAGCCAGGAAGAGACAAGGAAGAATCCCTTCCCTACAAGTTTCAGAGGGAGCATGGCTCTTCTGACCTTAATTTCAGACTTTTAGCCTCTAGAATAAGAAGACAATAAATGTACGTTGTTCTAAGCTATCTAGTCTGTAGTACTTGTTATGATAGCTCTAGCAAACTAATACAGTTGGTAAGGGCAGTCACTGTTGCTTGCAACCAAAGCAACCTACTTACACAGAGCATTAAAAGTGACTTTGAATATCAGCTATATCCTTCATAGATATACTTTTTTTCTAAGTATGAATACCTTTTTTTATTTAATATGCTTCCAGGTTGTAGCTCAAGTTATAGCACCCCTTCATCTACCACCCCAAAGAAGGCAACAGAAGATTAGATGAAGAATAGATGCTGCCTTATCTTTGTTTTATAATCATATAATTTGTGAGGTTTAGAATCAGGAGCCAAATGTCTAGAATTTTGGTTGAATCTTCAATGTCACAGAAATCCAAAAATTCAAAAAGGCAAGACCAAATTGAACATCTTGCAGTACAAAAAGTAAGTCTGAGGAAGCAAGATGTCTTACCCGAGAAGACCCTTTTGATTTCTGTAAGTGGATGTGGATGTTTAGAGGATTACATTGAAAAGATAAAAGAATTCACAGAAGAGGACTGTAGAATATATAGTTATATTGGTGCTCATAACATTTTTATGAAAGCCTTTCTTTGTAAGTCTAGCTTGGCCAGGGTATTGCCAGATTCTCGTGGCATGATGAATATCCCATGAACGATAAGATCTCCCCATATTCTGCTGTCCAGATGAGAGCATCTCATTGGTTTAATTTGCTTTAATTTGCATTACCCTAGATTATTAGGAGCTGCTGCTGCAGAAAAATAAATAGTGGCAACAGGTTTCCTATTGAAATTCAACTTCCAGTGGGATACTGTTGCTATAGTACACATTTTATCCATGCCCTATATGTTTTAATCATACAGTTAGTTTCCTGGACAATGGGTGCTCATTCTGCAAGGAGCTAAAGTGGCGCACACACACATGGTCCCTTGCACAGACAGTTGTAGGAAGTTACTCTTGCATGATCTGGGGTGGTTAGGTAAGGCTTCGAAAATCTTTTATTTTATTTCCTAAAAATTAGCAATAAGTAAAAGGGGGAAAGAATTTTATTTTAATTAGGTTGGCTAAATTGTGACCGATAGGTAAGGATATGTATAAGAAAAATATTGAATTGTGTACATGTTTCTGCTTTACTTAAATTTTGTCTTTTTTATCATCTTCAATCCGATCCTCTATCTTACAGTAAACATAATTTGATGTTTACGTGACATGGAGAATATAAGGCTCTTATTTACAGCTAAAATTACGGCATCCACTTAACTTTATGTGCTCGAGATTCTTACCAGGGCCATGGCACCCTTGAGGCAGCAGCCATAAATAAGTCATCTCATATCCTTCCAAATCTTTCCAATCTTAGCTTTCAAGCAAATAATCTAGAAAAGTAAACATCCTATGAAGCCTGCACTCAAGAATCTAAATTAAGTAGGTGAAAATAAACATTACTGAATAAAATGATTAATAAAATGAGCTCTACAGTTAACCGACTAATGGAGCTTCTTTAACATTCTAATATTTGTCCATAGATCAAGGACAAGATAGAAATCTGATAACTTTAATCTATCGTGGTTGCTTTTTAATTCCTACATTTGCATTATATGGACTCTTTTAATAACAACAAAAAAAAAAAATGGCCTATCATGAACTGCCCCTACAACACACACATGCAACACCACTAGAAAGAAGTAGTTAATTAAATTTGCAAGTTCTTTGGAGGTCAGGCAAAGTGCACTGGCTGATTTAATAATAATAGCTACGTTTTTGTCTGCTTTGTCAAAGATCAGATAGCATATCAGGATGGTTTTATATCTGGGTTCTCTGTTCTGATCCATTGATCTATGTCTCTGTCCTCATGCCAATTCCATGCTGTTTTTATTACTATAGCCTTGCAGTATAGCTTGAAGTCTGGTAAATTGATGCCTCCCGATTTGTTCTTTTTGCTTAAGGTTGTTATTCAGGGTTTTTTCTGCTTCCATATGAAGCACAGAATTATTTTTTTCTACATGAGGAAAAGAATCCATATTCAATAAATGGTACTGGGAAAATTGGATAGCCACATGCAGAAGACTGAAACAGAATCCACACCTCACTGCTCACAAAAATTAACTCAGTGTATAACAGACTTACACATAAGGAATTAAACTATAAGAATTCTAGAAGAAGAGGTTGGAGAAACTCATAAATATCAGCCTAGGCAAAGAATTTATGAAATAGACCCCAACAGAAATCACAGCAACAACAAAAATAAATAA